TACTGTCTATGTATTACATAGGTGATTATTCAAATTTTTGCCATCGGTGGGTTTTGAACTCACAACCTACCACTTGGAGGGTTGACAACTTATCCACTTCACTAAGTCGCCACACTTCCATTTATTATAAATTTATTTATATTAAATTGCATTTATATTAAATTATTTATTAACAATTTATTTAGATTAAGAATAGAGTATTTGTAGAAGTTATGTGAACCAAAATTAGCAAACATAGTTGACACTAAGCAATAAAATTTACCAATTTTGGTTCATATAACTTCTACAAATACTCTATTTTTAAATTATTTATTAAAATTTATTTATATTAACTACATATTAAACTTTATTTTATTTATTACTAAATGTTGGTTTATTAATAGGGGGTATAAATTGTTATGATGTATTTAAAGAAGAATATTTTATTCTTCATGCTGTTATAGTTAATTGGTCAGGTGATACTCTGGGGTTGACGAAATTAATAGGTATAACTGGACATAATAGTTATAAAAGGTGTCGATATTGTAATTTGAGAAAAGTTCGCACAAACTATATCTATTATCTTACAACTCCACCTCCAAATTTTAATTTAGAAAGATATTGTCCAGCTAATCTACCAAATAGAACACATAAAGAATGGAAAGAAAGGCTTAAGAAAATCTGTAAAGCAAAATCTGAAAAAGAGTGAAGTGAATTAATTACTAAATATGGTAATGTTGTGTCATTAAAAATAAAATATAGAATAAACTTTATTATAGGTGGGCAAAAATAATTATAATTTAAACTAGTTTTACTAATTTATAAATAATTTATAAAATAGTTTAAAATAGTTTAAACTATAATTATATTTGCCTGCCTAAACAAAATCTTTTCATATAATATAAATGCTAATTAATTATTTATACAGGAATTAGTAAACATAGCATTCTGTTTGATTTGCCAACAACACATTTTCCTAATTCCTTTGCTATAGATATTATGCATTTATTTTATGAGAACATTGCCAAGTATATGTTCGAACATTGAATTGAAACTTTCTTTTCTGATGAATTACAAAATAGAGAACTGTATATATTGGCTAAGTCAACTTGGTTAAATATTGGAAAACAAATACATGCATGGCGCAAGAATTTGCTACCAAATTTTGGAAGATCCTTATGAAATATAATATTATATTATCATGGATACAAAGCTGAGGAATGGACTGCATGGATTACAATGTACTTATTGCCTTTACTTAAAGGATGATTGCAATTAAAGTACTATAACAAATGGTATCTTTTTGTAAAGGCAGTATAGTTATATCAAAAAAAAATTATAACAACAGATAATTTAAATAACATAAATAACCTTTTATTAAAATTTTATGCACATTATGAGTGGTAATATTAAGATTTTATATCATTATTTATTAACTTTTAATATTTATACTTACTTATTAATTTTA